CTGAGCCATTTTTTAAAGTTTGGAGAAATGGAAGACAGACCCTTGAAACAGCTGAAGGTGCCATTCACCTGCTTCTGCAAGATGTGAAGGAGATGCTTTTTTGGCACTGGACGAGGTCCTGGGGCTGGGTTGGGATGGAGGGAGCCGTGGTGAGTCGCTGCATCAGTGCTATGGCCAAGGCAGGATGCTACAAGGTGCTACCCAACCTCTCAAGGAACAATATATATACACCAAACCAGCAAAAACTTGCCATCTGCTGAGCCATTTTTTAAATCCTTATTTTTACCAAAGCCTTCACACACACAAAAAAAAATAAAAAAGAAACAAACCCAACCTAGGAATGCCAAATTAATTGCGCTGGTTAATTCTATCGACAACAAAAAGAGGAGGAAAGCCCTAAACTGTTTCTTGGTGGGATCAGGTTGCCCCCAGGTCTCTCTGAAAAAGGCAGTTTTGGCTTTAATGGACACACTGAACTCCAGCCACAACCAAGTGCTGACCTGAGCTATGCCAACCCCAGATGGACAGGACCTTCTCGCCCACAGGATGCCACTGCTGTAACCATATTGGGCTCCTCTGCTCTTCCCTCCTCTCTGTGCTCTACCCCGAGGTGGCCAGGTCTCCATACCCAAAGCAAAAACGTCTACCTGGGACAGCACAGTTCCCAAAATAAATCCCACCACCACTATTTTGGGGGAAATAGTGCAAAATCTCCATGCTGGATGACCACAAGCTCACCTCCACACTGCACCCCAGGACTTCAACCCCATAATGAGAGGAGGAACAGCAAAACCCCGCAAAAATGTCTACCTGGGACAGCACAGTTCCCAAAATAAATCCCACCACCACTATTTTGGGGGAAATAGTGCAAAATCTCCATGCTGGATGACCACAAGCTCACCTCCACACTGCACCCCAGGACTTCAACCCCGTAATGAGAGGAGGAAGAGCAAAATCCCATCCTTCCAGCTAAAACCACCTCGTGGTTTCTCTCCTGGCCTCCAGGGAGAGGGGTGAGGGCTGCACAGGTTGATGGCTACTGGTGCAGAGGCAATTTCACACTACCTTTGAGCAGGACCACACATGCAAACCAATGCCATGTTGTCACTGGAGGACACCAAGAACCAGATGTTTTACTTTTCTTCTCCTGGATGAACCCAGCCCACGGTGGAAAGGAAGAGGGGGCGAAGTCTTCTGTTTAAGCAGACTCCTTCTACCTCAGCCACGTAACCAAAACTCCTGAAGGTTCTACACGTTGCTTAAATGAAACAGCAGCAGAAGTACAAAGCATAGAGGGAACAGAAAAGGGAGACAAAACAAAGCAAAAGAGGAGGAAAAGAAAAAAAGAACAAACCAAGGAAAGAGCCCCGATCTTGTACCTGATGCGTAGCAAACTGTACAGTATATACATCTTGGTCATGTATTATCCTCCCAGAAGAGCAAAGGAAAAGAACTTGGTAACACAGAGGGAGGAAAAAAAAATAATAAATATACACCCTGTATTGTATTTGCCATGGAGCAAGCAACATGTTTATACACTAGTCTCTATAACTTAATGCTGTGTAACAGCACTTTTTTTTTTTCTTTTCTTTTCTTTAAATTTACAAAACAAAATATCTATCGAGAAATAATCTAGTCATATTGCTCTTCAATACACTTCTGTAGACAAGTAAGACTCGAAGTTAAACTTCAGTAAACCACAGCTTTTTGGGAGCCCACAAACGGCTACAAAACTCCTCCGGCTCCAGTCAGTCCTTGGAAGTATTACCATGTGCTGCTGTAATTCAGTATATAAAGGTGCTGTATATATATATTTATATATATATATATATGTATCCCATGTACAGACAACGTGTGGTGGGAAGGCTTGTTGTCGCAGTCGCTGAAGCTTAAGAGACGGTTTAACCCCACGTACAGCAGATTTGTTTCCACGTTCCATGCATCTTACATTAACTTCATGAAAATGAGGACACAAACAGGAAGAAAAGGAAAACTTTTAGTCAAACACCGCTTTAGAAACACCGTGGCAGAGGCCAACGTCCTTCAGTTCTAGAAACCACTGAATTTCCCTTTTTTTATCGTTTTTCTTTTTTTCTTTTTTTTTTAGTCAAAATAAATCTCAGGGCTAGTGTACAAAGTGCAGGACCGACCCACTGGAGGAAGCGCCTTTTTTTAAAAACCGCCTTACAACGGCACCATCCCATTCACCAACTGGACCTTCATCTCCTGAAGGCTGTTCATTATCTTCTTCTGGTGACCAACAAGTGTCACTCCCAGCCGCCTCAAATCCCTGTGGGAGAAAGGGAGACGTTGGTTCCAGGGACACGCCGCCGCGCACACCACGCGCCGCACGCTGCTGCCAAGCGCCCAACCTCCCAAAACCACGCTTAGTTGGGCAAGTTAACATGTTTTCCCCCAAAATTTTGGGTGGTTTTTTATTTAAAGCTTTTAATGGCTGAAGGCATCTCGGAGAGGTGACATCATCTGACCAAGATCGCCTTGCTTGGCCAAGGAGAGAAGTTGGACAGCAAAGCGTCAGCACCCTGCCAGAGCCCAACCTCTCACCCGGTGCCCAACCACGCTCAGTTGGGCAAGCTAACATGTTTTCCCCCCAAATTTTGGGTGGTTTTTTTATTTAAAGCTTTTAATGGCTGATGGCATCTCGGAGAGGTGACATCATCTGACCAAGATCGCCTGACTTGGCCAAGGAGAAAAGCCTTCGGCAAAGGACTCTGCTAGGTCTGAAAAAGTCCTGCTTCCAAGAGAAAAGCCATGGGAGAAAGCCTCCATTGCAGTTTTCTCTTCTCCTGGGAGAACCTGGGATTTGATCTCAAGAGACAAGCAGTGAGGAGGAAGGTCAGTCCATGCTTCCTTCCTCTTCAGACTAGGCAAAGCCCAAGACACACCAACAGCAACCCCAGAGCCAGCTCCTACAAAAGCCTTGAGCGTGGCCACCACCTTGATGGCTCCCTAAAGTCCATGCAGCTCCCCTCAGAGCCTTTGCAAATCTTCCTGTAAACCCACATTTGATGATTTTTTTTTGGGGGGTGGTGGTGATTTCTACAAGCCAAAGGCATTTGTGTTGAGTCTGTCTACTGGGCTGCCTTTACAGGAAAGCTGTAAAATGGGACAGCTTGTGAAATGCAGGATTAGGAGGAAAGATGGTTTCCTCAGAAGCTCGGCCCTCTGAAATTTAGGTGTATAGATGAAGGTAATCACCAAGGTTGATGTTGATGGCAATAAAGAGGCACCTCCAGGGGATAATTTATCCTATCCAAAGACAGGAGCGGGACAAGTTGTCCCCTGGAGATACTACAGCAGGACCTTGGGTGATCATGCTGATCCATGGTGATTCCACAACAGGTGTAAAGTTGGGTAAGGCCATGGGTTATGGCAGAGCACAATCGTAGGGATTTCTTTCTAGGGGAAAAAGTGCTAACAAAGAGATTGTAGGAATAAAAGCTCGGAAGAAACATCAAGACAGGTTCATCTGTGTTTCCAACACAAGACACAGAGACCGTTAGAAATGCAGTTCGACTTAAGAGGAGATAGAATCATAGAATCATAAAACCATCTAGGTTGGAAGAGACCCTTGGGATCATCAAGTCCAACCATCAACCCCACTCTACAAAGTTCTCCCCTACACCGTATCCCCCAACACCACATCGAAACACATGTGGTGTTTTGTCTGAAGACTTCTACTAGCAAAATATCAGCCCCTTGCCTTCTATCTCCAATAAAGACCCAATAAAGGATGCTTTCAAAGTAGGGCTATACAGTCTTGCCAATACACGTGTGAAACCCAGAGCTGCTGACACCCTGTGCACATGTCTTTTAGGAGAAAGCTCTCCACCAAGAGCCCAGTGGGACACGACCTCCTTGAAGACGTAGGTGCTTTTGGAAACCACACTGGCAGGGCTGGAGCGTGCAAGGGCTGGGAACCACCACCACCTGGAAGTCCAACCATCACCTGAGACGTACTGCAAACCTGGCCTACAGCTCACAGCAGAGCTGCATGCTGGACTGCAGGCAAACAACATGCAATGACCACCAAAACACTTCCACATGATGTTTTGTGAGCTACCCATGGAGGTGCACCTCTCTCAGCAGCTCCACGTTCCGGACAGAGACTCCTGTGTGAATACAACCAACCATCCGTGTCTCCAAAAAATTAAACAGACGAGCATTGCTTTGAATAAAAAACAATCCTGAGTGAAGGCTGATACGTTAACACAGAGCTGGTCGAAGCCAAAAGCTAGATCTGTTGTTCTCCAAGGATGGCCATGCTTTCAGCCTTTTGATTTGGAAAATAACCAGATTTTCTGCTCCAGGCTACACGCTTCATTTCATTATGGTACCATTTTTTTTTTGGTGATGCATCTCAACAATCCATAGGGGAAATCACAATGTGATGGGCACGGAGCAAGGGAGGTCAAGGAGACACTTCAGCAACGCTCCTTACCTGGCAGAAAAAAAGGCTGCAGCACCTGCAAAAGGTGTCTACCTTCTCAGGGGGACATGCTTTCATTTCTGCCTCCACTGAATTGTGAAACTAGTTCAGCAAGCCATCTTAATAATGAAGGAAAATGTAGTAATGCTATTGTTACATGCAATTTATTTTATGTACACAGCACAGTTGGAAGTTCACACCAAAGATCAAAAAAAACCCCAAAACACAACCCAGTATAGGACCTGATTTTTAAAAGAGCCAACATCCATCTTCCCCCTGCTGAGTGCTGCTCTGTTGGAACTTTTTGAAAATTCAGCTTTTTTTTTTTGTTTTTTTTTTTCTTTCCCCAGGTACCTAAAGTGCAAGCTGAGCTCTTTTGAAAATCTAGTACCATGTACTTTGCAGATGTATCATTTCTGATACTCCACTCTTGCATGTTATGCAGAAAAAAATAGCCTGAAACTATGAAAGGCATGTACGTCTTGGCATTTCACAGGCAGATCCATCAGTCTAATAAAAAAAAACCCTACTCACTACACAGCTTTTTTTCTTTTTTTTTTTTTTTTCCCCCTTATAGCATCCCCTTAACTCAACATCCTTGAGGAGCGCCTCATTGATTTACAAGAGAGAAAGAAGAAAAAGGAGTTTCTGGTTTCAATCCATTAGCTGCTCACCAGGGGATCCAGCCTATTTTTTTTTGTTGTTTTTGAATATCAAATCCTCTCAAATGTGGAGCCACCGGCCAAAAGTGCAGGGACTCCCTCGGAGAGGGAGCAAAAACGACCGCGGTGTCTTCCACCTCTGCAAAGACGGACCAGAAGACAGCAGCTCCTGAGCCAGGTGCTCCCCTAGGATGAAACCATCAGCCTTATTCCAAAGCCCCTTTGTGCGTTGCAAAATCAGCAACAAAACTTCCCAAAAACCACCTAGAGAACTCGGGAGCTTGAACTCCCATTTTTCCAGGGTGACTTTCAGCACTTGGCCTGCTCTTGTGCACCCAACACCGAAGGACTAAGGCAGAAGCCAACTTCTAAACAAAATTGGGTGCGTTAAGCAGCTGGTTTTGGGACAAAAACGGTCAACATCTGTGCCCAAGGGCTGAAAATTCCCTGCAAGAAAAGGCACAACTAAGACCTGGGGGCAAATGATGCTTTTGATGAGGATCCAGGCTGCACCTTGGCGTGCAAGTGACCCAAGCTCCATTGTTGGGTCTTGTGTCCATCTCTGGGGCAGTGGCATGGATGCTCCCCGAGATCCTGGAGATACCCATGTGCTGTGGGGTCCCCCTGCTTCAAAATACTTGACCCCCCCAACCCCAGCAACGTGATGACTTTCATTCTTGTTTCAGGGAGAAGTCTCCCCTTGTCACCTCTATTTCATTCCTGTAGGGCTGAAAAATGGAACGGGCAGGAATTGGCATCACTTGCCGACACGGCGCTAAGAGACTGACCTAAATTGACCAAAAAGCCAAGGAAATAAAGGGGAAAAATTGGTGTCAGCTCATCCCAAACAGCCTGTACACAGCTACATGCATGCTGCTCTCTTACCACCACCTTGCAGGAAAGCCCAGCTGCAACGTGCCGGGGACAACACAGCATCCTCTACTTGCAAGGGTTGAATTCACGGTCTCCACGTTGTAAAGAAATATATATTTAAAACATTTTATTTACAAACAGAACTACTTATACACCATGGACCAACTTGTCAAACACAGTGTAGACTAGGACTGGATTGCCACATAAAATACAACCCCCCCCTCACCAGATGGTCAGTCGTGCAAGCAAACGGGCCAGGTTCCTGAAAGATCTCTGTGTCTGGCAGCCGTCATGCTACCACAGATATTTTGTATTTCATCTCCCATTCTGGCCAGATTTCACCATTTTTCTTCGTGTGGTGTTAACTCTAGAATTGCCCGTGCAGACTGGTGCTACTCACGCAGTTAGTTAGTTGTCAGTTTGAGCGAGGGGAAAGAAGAACCTCAAAGACCTTCAAAGGACGCTAAACAGAGAGGAATCCACTCGCTAGGGACTTCTGCATGAAACGAGGACTTAAAAATCAGTTTTTTTTAAGAGTTCATCTGCTCTTATTCATTATTCCTGTCCTACTCAATGATTACGAGATGAGAACTGGTTTGTTCAGGAGCAGATGCAGTATCACAATCTGAGATTTCAGGTTAAGAATAAGCATCTAGAGCAGGTGAACTCTTAAACGCTCTTTATCCAGTATAACTTTTAATAAATAATTTATTTTATTTTAGAAGAAAAAAAAAAAAATACAATGCAAAGCAACACAGCACATATTATTACAAATATTCAGAGCTCTTCATCTAATAACAAACAACAGGGTGTCCTGAGATTCAGTGAGTAGAGATCTTTCAAAAGGTGGAAGTATGTCGTCCACATGGTTAGTAATTGGTCCAGTCAAGGGTCAGACTGAAACTCATGTCATGGATCTATCTATTCTTGAGTATTGTCCTGGTAAAGTTATTCTTGCAGTGGATTGAAAGAGCTCCAGACACACTCAAAAGTCACTAGGTGGTCCACAAGTTTAAAGAGCAGGTCTGGTCCACTGGAAAGGTTGCCTTCATGTCTGATATCCAGTTGGAAAGAGGGGGTGGAGGGTGAGGCTCCACTTTTCACAAGGTGATTCATCCCTTTGCAAGAATTAGAGCTAAATGTAGAAATCACTCTTTGTTTGAACACATACATTTTCAGGTCTTTGCTTAAGCAGGCAGAGCTCAGGACTTGGGGCGATATTCACCAGTTTTAACTTTTTAAGCCTTTTGCTTTCAGAAATTTGTCACTAATGCTACTCCTCCCTGGAACAAACGCATCAAGCCATCAGCCTGAAAGAAGCAGGGCAGTAATTGGGATTGTGCTTTGCATGCTGGGCAGGGGGGGTGTTTAAAAAACCATGCTGAACATCTACCATCTCAACCAGGTCCTGTAAAGAGGCCACAAGCCGGGTGCCCAGTCACCAGTCCCATCAGCATTATGGCCAACCCCTCTTAGAGTGCTAGGAATTTTTTTTTCAATAGACTTTAGAAATTCTTTACGTTGATCATGTTTTGTTTTGTGGTGGTTTTTTGTTTTTTTTTTTTCCCCTGCCTTTTCTGGCAGCGATTATCCAGTTCTCCTTTCTCCATCTAATTTCCACATCTGTCTCCCACGCAGTTTGAATTTGGGGAAAATCATTTCGGGTGGCATTTGAAGGCAACCTCTTAAATTCTAAAGAATGTTTTACTGATGTCATTTGGGGAAAGCAAGCTACTTTCAGATGTTCAGATCATCTTTTCACCCGATCCCCCCAAGTCCCAGCTCTGAAATATACTGAACAGTTGCCTCTATTAAAAATGACAAGGAACATTTAACCTGAATTCTCCTTTGCAGAGTACAAAATGTTTTGTTGTTCCCTTTTACAGGGAGAAAAAATGAAAACCTCCAGAAAATCACACACGCCCCCCAGTATATTAACCTTTAAAGAACTTTGCTTGTTCTGGCGTTCATTTCCTGGAGAACCCAGGAGAGTCTCATCCGAGCCCACTCAGGAGCCATTTCTCTCCCTTACTTTGTTGATTTTTAAGGGCAATCTGCCAGTTTCCATCAGCCTGAGCACGTGCTTCAGTTCTTCAACACGGGATACCTTAACTCTTAAGCCATTATGATGGTTTCTCCTTTTTTAACAGCTGAGAATCTTGTCTTTTGCCTTTTTTTCTGTTGTTATATTTGAGAGGGATGAGAGAAGTCTTGATTTGGATGGCTTTTTAATGAACCTTCCGCAGTTTTCCCCAAAATAGACCCACGTGGGGCCAAGTCTTCTTGCTAAGCCACCCTCACAACGCAAAGGTGTGCAGGCTGAGCTGCTCAAGAACCAAGCCTGACTCATGCAAGCATCTCATCCATCCAAGATGGGGGGGAAATTTATTTCCTGGCTTGGATAATTAACTAGTTGGAGTTAGTTTCAACCTCTTTTCAGTTTCAACTGAAATGCAAGATGGATTCATGAAGCTCCCCAGGCTCCCAGGCATCAGGTCTCCGCTGGGGCCTCTAAAGAACAAGAGTGGGGTGACATCTCTGCTCCAGAGAACATACTGGGACCTGGTGGAGGGGGCCTTAGAGGCAGTTTGCAGCTCGAGAGGGTCAGAGCATCTCCAGCAGCTATAATCTTATTTAAAGACTTTTAAACCATTAAAAGACTTCTAGCCTTTCTGGGTAGAATTGTACAGAGAATGAATTTTTTGGTTCGATGGCAGTCAGAAAAACCATTTTGAAGAACTTTCTGGGCAGCCTGAAAAGATTTTGGGGGATACTTTTGAACTTTCTGCAATAGCAAAGAGTAAATATTGGGAAGTATTTAAACTTTTAAGTTAAATGAAGGAGATAATTTCACAATCTGAAGTGTTGCACTCCAAAAAATGGGAGGTTAGGAATAGTTTTGTAAGTGGAATAGGATGCTAAGACTGTTTAAAGCTACGTAAGTAAGTGAACATCTAATTTACTGTCAAAAATGACCACTAATGTGGGCTTGAACTCAACACTTTCTCTGACCTAAACCAAAGCATTTCACTTCTGAGCATTTCTTTTAGAGCTCTTGATATTGCATGAAGATCGAAAGAGGAACCAACTGGAAGCTTTTGTAAAACCTACTTTTCTTCTCGATACAACTAATTTGGCCAGAGAGCAAAAAGTCTAAGATATATTTTAAGCATTCTGTATTTTCTACCAGAACTTGCTCTGGTTATAAGATTGAGGTGGCACAGTGGAGGGCAATGCTCCAACGTTTTCCTTTTCTCTTGAATTACTGCCTCACCCTCTCCCTTCTCTTTCCACTCGCCCTCTGGCTAGATCTTTCTGCTGCGTGGACTCTGACCACCCTGGGGATGGACCTCTTCCTTGGTCAGCACGTGTAGATCACCAGTCTAAGTGGAGCCCCAAAGCCTGGTGTTTCTGGGCACTGCCAGATCAGATGAATAGGTAAGGAACAGTGGAGTCCTCAAAACCCAAAGTAACATGGGGCATCATTGCTGGACTAGGCTGGAAACCGCATGTAAGAGGCACCCAAAAAAGGATCTAGGTAGAAATCCATGCACCCTGACTCAGGGTTTAATGCCTAGCTCAGAGTTTTGGCATGGATGCCTGAAGGTAGACTGGGTGAGTCCAGGTGTAAGGGACAAATACTGGTGAGGTGAGTGCAGCAAATACACTCCTGCACTCCCTCCAGGCACGTAACGCAAAACTCAACTCCATGGAGATGTTGTTACCAACCTGCATCGCATCCAAAGGACCTCCTACCCTCTGCAGGCATCTCCAAATCAAGCCCTGTGGCAGACAGGAGAAATGCTGTGGGCTCTGTGAGGTGTGGGGATTTTTCTGGGTTTTATTCCTAATCCTTGGCACCGAGTCTGTATGTGCCCTGGCAAACACGTGGTGGAAGAGCCCAGACCTCCTCCGAAGCACCACGGAGCATAATCCTTCCCATCCTGCCTTAACTCTTGCAGCAAACTAAGCTCAAATTAACCAGGCTAGAAAGGCAGGCTTTGGGGCCAGTTTGAGTAAGCGGCAGGAGGAAAGTACAGATGTCATTAACACAAGCAAGGCAGGCAATTAAAGGTGGAGCATAACAAATCAGCAGCCCCGAGGCGTTTACCAAGTCGTTGGGAGTGCCATCACCTCATGTGCAAAAGACCAAGAGCACATTCAGAAGGAAGAATCTCGGCCAGGGAGCCTGTCCCCTAGAGATATGGGTTTGCTGATGCTCTTCTCTTCCTCTTTCCAATTTCTGTTCATGTTGAACACTATTTCCACGCCTTACTGGGCTCAGCTGCCCACTTGGTCGTGTCCAGATCAACTGTGAAACCAGCTAATCCAGTGTAAAGCCAGTATAACCCATCAGGGACACTACCTGCTAGACATTTACTACCAGGGTGGGTTTGGTTTTCTTTTAACTTGTCAATAACCCCAAATAATCAACCACTATTATGACGAGAGAATGGCCTGGCAACTACTCAAACTCAAGCATTAATTTCTGGGAGTGAAGAAGCCAAAATAACGTAGTGACCATAAGTTTGAGCCTTGCCTGCACTCGGTATCATCAATACAGATGCTCCAAGAGAAACTGCAAAGAAAGGGTAAATGGTTTGCCTTTCTGCAGCCTCATCCCTGCGTGTTTTTGAAGGGTTTGTCTTCTCCCCCTCTGCAATTCCAACAAATGAGGTGAAAATGATGGGGCTGCTACTCACTCTAAGGTCACCTGAGCCACAGCGTCCATGGAACTGTAGCCGTTCTCCATGAAGATCTCCGTGTATCGGCCCATTTTGATGGCTTCCAGCCACTCGCCCACCGACCTGTAGGCACCGCTCCCCACCGGACTGTGCTCCACCAACGACCTGTAGGCACCGCTCCCCACCGGACTGTGCTCTACCAACAGATTTGATACTCTAAAGACAAGCAAAAACAGAGAAGCCAACAGAATCAGTATCGAGATGTACCCAACGCGACGCAGTCGCTTACGGTTTTATATGGTAAAGATGATTCTTTCATTGCATTTTTCAGTCATTGCAGGCTTGCAATCACTCCCAGCAGGCTTGATGTGCAATGTTATTTTCACTGAATTTCACTGAATTTTTAGAGTTGGAAAGGACCATAGAGATCATCTAGTCCAACCCCCCTGCTGAAGCAGGATTGCCCAGAGCTAGAGCATGTTACTCAGGGGCATCCAGGTGGGTCTTGAAGATGTCCAAGGAAGGGGACTCCACACCCTCCCTGGGCAGCCTCTTCCAGGGCTCTGCCACCCTCACCGTGAAGAAATTTTTCCTCATATTTGAGTGGAACCTCTTATGTTCCAACTTGTGCCCGTTGCCCCTCGTCCTGTCACTGGGAACCACTGGAAAGAGTCCGGCTCCATCCTCCCTCAACCCACCCTTGAGATACTTGTCAGCATTGATAAGGTCTCCCCTCAGCCTTCTCTTCTCCAGGCTAAAGAGCCCCAGCTCCCTCAGCCTTTCCTCATCAGGGAGACGCTCCAATCCTTGAATCATCTCTGTTGCCCTTCGCTGGACTCTCTCCAGTAGTTCCCTGTCCCTCTTGAACTGGGGAGCCCAGAACTGGACACAGTACTCCAGTTGTGGCCTCCCCAGTGCAGAGCAGAGGGGGAGAATGACCTCCCTCCACCTCCTGGCCACACTCTTCCCTATGCAGCCCAGGATCCCATTGGCCTCTTGGCCACAAGAGCAC